TCTTGGTAAGCCCTTTCTAGATGATGATAACAGCTCCCCAGGAAGTAGGGGTGGTAAGTAGAGAATGAGGGCATGCATCTGAACTAGATGGTCAGGGCAGGCTCCTCTGCAGAGGTGACACTAGCACGTAGGCCTGAAGGATGAGAAACAACCAGCTACGAAAAACTAAGAAAGAGCATTGCAAGCAGAGGGAAGAGCAAGTGCAAAGGCCGGGGGCTGGAAAGCACTTGCCGTAAATCAGAAGCCTTAAACACTATGATCCAAGCAGCGTGGAGGCATTGAGCACAGATGTTCTGAGGTCGAGACCCAACTGCCTTAGAATGGGCATGGTATCCTTCCTTAGGGGATCTAAGTACTATGGAAGTCCCTTCACTAGCATTTTTATTTGGCATCCCTAAAGGTAGACCTGACAGCAGGTAGACAGACACCATCCTGCCCTGAGGAAAGGGCCTCAGCTTGGTGACTCTTCCAGCCCTGGCTCCCTGGCTAACCCACCTTCTGTGCCTTGCTGGGAGGTGTCAAGCGTGGATAGAGTTTTGGAAACTAGAAAGTCCCCTTTCATGTTTGCCTAGCGATGAGAGGGAGAGATGAGATTGTTGCTTTTTCATATCTCTCCCGTGGACTCTTAAAATTAATTCTACCATCAAGACTACCATCAAGATTCCCACGCCCCAAATGTGGGTTTGGGGAGAGAAATTTAAGACTTTGAAGTTGAGAAAGAAAGGAGAGAAAGCATTCTCTGGACAAATGCTTGTCATGCAGACGTCAGAATCCTCAAAGAGAAAAGCAAAAAGGCACTCGGGGAACCATTTTAGGGAGAAAAAATAAAAAAAGAACCAGAAGTAGAGATGGCTACTTCAGCTCAGGAAAAAAATAAATAAATAAAATAATAAAAGGTAGTGTTAAAGCTTTGAAAGGAATTTTTTCATTTAAGAGAGATTATGAATAATGAAATGCAAACACTACAGTTAATATGCCTGTTAGCTGGTTTATGTTGCTGGGAATGATATGTTCTAAGAGGAGCAGCTTTTCAAGTCGTCCTCCTTGATTACCGATGGGGTAAGCTCTGAGTTTGTAGCCCAGATTCCTTTGCCAAACAAACAAGAGATAGCCCATGCTAGAGGCAGAGCCGTATTTATTCCAAGGCCACAAACTAAGCCTTTGTGAACTCTTCACAAATGAACCTGACAACACTGAAATTTCTAAGGAGATTTACTCCAGCTGTAGCAAATCCCTAATAATAAAAAATTTCCCCCAAATGAGTCAGTCACACAGGAGGTAAATGAGACATTCTGTATGAAGTCAGCATGTCATTCGGAGCGTGCCCTTGATATAAACAGCCCAGACAGAAGACCATGTGGTTAAGTGGGGCTTGTCCACAGGGCAGAGCCAGAACACCAAGCGAGAGGGGGGTTCAGCCACCAAATTGTAGCCCAAGCAAACCCTATAGGAAAGTCCAGTTTTTCTAAGAAGTTCAAGTAAAAGCTGATTATTTGCCTCACAAAAGGATTCACCAGACAGGTCTTTTACCTAACAAGCTCAGAGAGAAAATTTATAATATGATTGAATTATATGAACCTTTTTCAAAAAATACAACCCTTCTCTCTACATGTAGTAGATATGTAAGAATGTCTAGGCTGAATTTGTTGTTGGCCGAATTACGTTAAAATGATTTGGGGCGATACATCCGCTGAGTAAATCAAGGCCGGCTTGTCACTGTGGCTTTTCTTGGGTAGCTACATCAATGATCCTGTTAAGCCCCTAAATTACTCCGTGAGTGATTAGACAACCAGATAAAACCCTCCCACTTCTGATGAACAAGCCTGTGGGATCAGGGCCTCTCTTGGTCCATCTCAGAAAAATTGGCAACAGGAAGACTAGAACTATCTGGTGGTCTTTAAAAAACAAATGTGTTTTAATTATTTATTGAGTATGGGCCCTGACTCTGGCACCGTTCCAGGCGTTCTGACATGCTGCGTCTTACTCAGCCCTCACTCCAGTTCCCTGAGCTGGCCGATGATGATGAACTTATTTCTTCATCTGCTAAAAAAAAGCCGGATTCTTCTCAGTTCTTCTACTTTGGAAAAACATTCCTAAAGCAAGCAGCTTTATTTTATATGTATTTTTGGCTTATTAAAGAATTATAGGTTCCTCATAAACAATTCAGACAATAGAAGAGAACAAAGAAGAAAGTAAAAATTACCAATTATCCACCACCCAATTATCTTGCCACTGTTAATATTTTAGTATATAAGTTTTCAGACTTGTTTTCTGTAGGTTTATGTATGAAAATGTAGGTCTATATTTTCAAACGTAATTTTTTAAAAATTGCTTTTTTTAAGTTTATAGTATATATCATGAGCATCTTCCCATAAAAACAACAAATCTGGACCTGCAGCACTATTTACTATAGCAACAGAATATTCCATTTTATAAAGACACCAGAATTGGTTTAACCACCCTCCATGGTTGGACTTTTGAACATGATGCTATTTATAAACACAGTATCTTCCCACTTTTCATATGCTTTTTTAAAACATATGCACAAAGATGTCTATATATCTTTGCACAGTGATGCGATTATTTCCTTAGGAAAAATTCCTAGTAGTAGGATTGCTGGATTCAAGGCTAAGCACGTATTAACTTGTGTCACATTTTGCGAGAATGCCTTCCAAAATGTTTGAATGGGTTTACATCCCCACTTGTCCTGCACCTCTGCTCCTTTGCTCTCTTAGAGGAAGTCACTTTTGCCCTATGTCTTACTCTCTTTGCCTCTGACGTGAGTGAGGATACAACAAATTGCAGTTCGCATTTATTAAGCACCTACTGGGTACAGGCTGAGTACTATCACTTGTTGAATTGATTAGATTCAGTCTCACAATAACTGCAGGAGAAAGTTTCTCACATCCTTTATTTTACTTTTATCTTCTGAGGCTCGGAAAGGTTCAGTAACTTGCCTGACGAAGGCACCCAGCTAAAAAGTGGGTCTCCATCTCTGGGATGGAGACTCCTGGGCCAGGGCCCTGCACTTCCCCGTGCAGGTGAGCCCAGCGCTTTGTGATTAATGAGCACAGGTGGTGCAGCCTCTTGACCTCTGGGCACACTGCTGGGGCATCACTGTTGCTCAGTGGAACATGACTGTCCAGCCCTGCTTGCCTCAGGGTGGAAATCACAAGGAGGGGTTTTCCAGAAGGTGTAGGGAATTTCCCCTGAGAATGAACTAAGCATTTTTTTACTTTTGTTTTGGAAGTGAAGAAGCATGTTTTCAAAGTCAGCAGCATCTCCTATGCTGAAGTCACAAACCTAAACTGATCCCTACCCCCACGGCTTCTCCATCTCTGGCCCTCTCTCCAGACCACCCGTGGGAAGACTTTTCTCTCAACTTCTCCAGACTCTCAACCAGCTTCGGCGGCGCTCTTGAGTGTAGGAGTCCAGCCTGTGGGGGCCAAGAGTGAACTAATTGTGGCCCACTCTTTCATACACTTCCTTTACAGCTCTACAGTTTGGATGTGGCTGAGCAGTTCGGGTCTCAGGGCAAGAGTGAGGCATCAGGCTTGTGGGGCTTACACCAGGCCCCTCTGTGGGCAGCCAGCTCCCCCACACCCTGAGGGTGGCAGGAGCCTCACCCCAGGCACATCCCTGGGGCAGAGGGATTTCCCAGGGCTCGCTACCTGAAAGGGAGAGATTTCTTACATGTTGCTTTAACAGGTTGATGCAAAATAAATAAACAGAGAGCGGGAGAGGGAGATGGATGGTGTCAGTAAACAAGGGCACATATGCAGTGGCCAGCCGTGTGACGGGAGCTGCTGGGAAGGAAGTTTCCCACCTAAGCAGCTGTGACAGGAGTATTAACCTAACAGGGAGCCCAGAAGGGGAGCCCAGACAGCACAGTGAGGATTGCCAGAGCTCATACCAAGGCTGAAAAATGTGTGTCTGTCAAGATAAACTGGTGCAGTCCGTGTGCACCATCTCCTGAACCTAGCCAGGGGGTCTTCCCTCCCCCTAGCCAGGTTGACTGTGCTTAGAAAGAACACAGGCCTCAGCTTGGGGAGGGCAGCCGGCTCCGACTCCTGCTGAGCTAACAGTTGTGTGCGGGTAGATGCTGGGTCCCTAGGGATTCCCCCACCCCTTTTGGAGAAAAGTTTTTATTGCCTTATCTAATATGATGCTGATTCCTTTTAAAACGTTTGTTGACTAGACATGGCTGAGGTAAACTTCACAGAGTCATCTCTGAGAGGGAAGTGATGGGGAGCCTTTGTCACTAACAAAGAGGGGGGTGACCCAGGAAAAATATCAAAACAAGAAAATAAAGAAACATCTCTGAAGCATCCCCAGTGCGCCTGGCACTGTGCCCACCCCCCTCCCTCCACATATTGTTTTTCATCTTATCTCCTCCCCGACCTTCTGGAGTAGATATTTTGATCATCACCCTACAGATGAAGAAATTGGTGCTCAGAGAGGTTAAGTAACTTGCAGTGACACAGAGAGACTAAGATTTTGAGGGATCAGAATGAAGATTAAAATGATGCTTCTGAAGGGGAGGGAAAAAAGGGTCTGTGTGGAGAATGAGGCTATTGCCCAGGCGTCCTCAAACTACAGCCCGCGGGCCACATGCAGCACACCTAGGACATTTATCCGGCCCGCCGGGTATTTTTGCCACCACTGCCTGTCCTGCTTAGCAGCCGACTCGTCCCGGAGCCCGCAGTCTGGCCCTCCAACAGTCTGAGGGACAGTGAACTGGCCCCCTGTTTAAAAAGTTTGAGGACCCCTGCCCTTCCGTGGCCTCCAGCTGTGCTCTCATACACGCCATAACTTCAACAAAGCAGCAACTTCTATCTCTCTGTTTGCCCGTCTGTACAAGCAGACATAGTGCCCTTTGTTTATCCACCTGAAACCCCTGAATTGTATAAATGAATGGAGAGAGACATGAGTCAAGTGAGACAATGGTCTGTCTCCTGTCCTTTTAGTGATGTTTTCTTGTCTGTCCCATCCCCGCCCAGGTATGACTTCATTGAGATTCGAGATGGGGACAGTGAATCTGCAGACCTCCTGGGCAAGCACTGTGGGAATATCGCCCCACCCACCATCATCTCCTCCGGCTCCATGCTCTACATCAAGTTCACCTCTGACTACGCCCGGCAGGGAGCAGGCTTTTCCCTGCGCTATGAGATCTTCAAGACAGGTCAGTGAAGTCATGGGTGGAGGCTGGGAGTTGGGCACCCTAGAGAAGAGGGGCGAACAGCAGCCCCGAGGGTTGAGACAGGTGGTAAAGGTTACAGTTTCACCCAGCTTGAGCATGGGGACACCCAGAGAAGAAGAGCCAGTTCAGGTTACCATCCGACTTGAGGGGCCAAGCTGCAGGGTGGTGGGCACAGTGGGGCCATCAAATCGATAGAAGAACACTTTTGGAAAGAATCTGATTTTTGTGCATTTTTAAAAATTGAGATAATCTTCATGGGAAAAAGCAAAACTCAGTTGAACTTCCTACCATTACTTCATGGTTTAATGTTGACTTTATTTGGAATTACACGTGGGACTGAGGACATAATCTTTTCATTGTTTAGAAAAGATCTCTAAAGATTTTACCATGACCTCCCAAATGAGGCCACACCATAGCCCTTAAATTAAAACAAGGCTCCTAGAAATTGCCTTTGGTGGGCCCTATTACTTCTACCCATTCAACCCCTCCTTCCCAAATGTCAATGAAACAGACCCCCTGAAAAGCAATCAGAAAGAGAGCAAAGAGGCAGAGAACACTGCACTTGTTTTCAGTTGACTGCTTGATTTCCATCAGGGACCCCTTAGATTACGTTAGCCCCTGAGAATATGGGCCAGTCCTCATTTCCATAACTGGGAATAACAGACTTTCATTCACAAGTGCAACTTCAACATCTACACTCAGCTCTCTGAGGAGCCATCCTCCCCTCCAACAGTTCTCCCCTGCCCCCATCCACTCCCCCCACCCACCTCCGAGGCTCCATCTAGCAGCGAGCCTGCCTCTCCAGTCCTGCAGTCTAAGTTTTACAACTTGAGGATGGAGTCTGGTTCAAGGGGAGGCTGTCAGCCTTGTCATCGAGAGGCCCAGGACCGGCGCCTGTCGAGTTCAGTGTGAGGGGAACAATTCATATATATTTTCTTTTTCACTAAACAGTTCTTGAAAGGAAATAGTAGCTGCTGAAAGCACTTTTTATTTCCACTCTGTCTAAATATTTGTCAGATTTGTCTGCTTGAGAACAAGAACAAGGAATCAAATGAAGGGGTGGGCCCGGAGACCTGTGTCATGCTGAAGGGGGGTCCAAGTGCCACAGGGCACAGTCCCAAGAAGGCCCGACTGCCCTGGGTTTTTATGCTCCTGACCAAAGTCACAGGGACTAACAGTCTGTACGTCCAGTGGCTTGAGCTGGTGTGAGGCCCCCAAAGAGCAGGACCCACATTCTCTCAACCCCTGTGCAAGATTCAGGTCAATGCTACCAGCACTGATGGACCATCCCTAATGCCGAGCAGTGGGGAGAATAAAAAGAAAGGCATGGAACAAGGTGTCTGCTGTCGTCTAGCTGGAGAGATGGGTATGTAAACCCTCAGCACATAACAGGTGCCCAGTCATTGTTGCTGGTTGAATGTGAATGTGAATTGAAAGGAAAACTATAATACCTGGCAGAAGGGACACTCCACTGTGCTGGGCATGAAAGGAAAACAGCTCCAAGCAAGATCTGCCAGGGGGCCAGCCAAGGGAAGTGGGAGCAAGGGCGAGCAGAACCATGAAAAGCTCGCCTGTTCACAAAGCTTGATGCCACGTTCTCCAGAAGGCCACAGAAGAGGTGAATGTTCACTCTATTCATTATGCAAATTTAAAAGGATAGCAGGGCATTAAAAGACAAAACATACAAAAGGGTATCATCATTCAGCACTGCTATCTTGAGGACATGCGAAACAGGATTGTGAATGAAGCCGCAAGTTGGGGGCCTGTCTAGAAACAATGGTGCTCCTCGATGAAGCTAGGTGGTTTGGGCATGGAGAAACTGGGAGTTCGGCTGTAAGGAGCAGGGTTGCCTCTGGAAGGGACTGCCACCGTGAGAGACACCCCACCAACAACCACCCCTCATAGCCTTCTCAGAGCCACTCACACCTGCCATCTCGCCCATCTGGAAGAGCAACTCTCAGCACAACAGTCAACCCCGTATAAAACACAGAAATGTGTGGGGCTGCAAAATTCAAAGCCGAGAACTTAAAAAGATGACCATTCTTCCAGGTGTCCTGTCTTCTACCCATACTTCCATTGTTGGCGTCCTGAGAGAAATAAATACACAAAGTCTACGTCATTCACAGAACATAAAAGAAAAGGGTGGACAGGCTAAAGAAATCCAAACAAACACAGCTATGTTTGCTAGTTGGATTCATAAAGAGGAAGAAGGGGGAAACTGTAAACACAGATACGCAAATAGCCATACAGAGGGCTCTGGGAGCCTCGGACAGCGTGTTGTCCTGGTGGGGCTGCAGAACCCTCGCAATGGCACTACCAGGTGCGTGTGGCTGGAGTGGAAGGTTCTCATCTGCCCTAAGTGAAATCAGACTGTCCACATACAAAAGGGTAGGCCAAAACAACTCATAAACCTCAAAGATCTCAATAATCACCAAATCCTGAGCAGAACAGAAAAAATAATTCTTAAACTTAAAAAAAAAATCAGAAACAAAATCAGTAGAAAATATACATGGTTATTATTATTTTTTTTTCCCCTCCAATGCTCCTTTGACCAAGGTTCAAGGTCAGGTTTTCTTTCCTGTTTGCCCAGTGACATTTCTGAAACTGAAATTTCTGGGGTTGTTCACAAGTAGAGAAAACCTGAAACACCCACCACCTTTCCTCCCTGAATTAGGGAACTGAATGTACCTTCTGTGGTCAAGGCAAGCTCGACTTTGGAGAAATCCACCATGTTTTAAACATCTTCATATGTGTAGATTCTTCTTCCACTTACAGAATTATTATGAAATTTACAGTGGAAAAACAGAGTGGGCAGGTTTCGTACCAGAGTCCATTGGTATGAAATCATTCACTGTAACCCAAATCCCCAGCTGCTGTGGACAATCTTAGCACAGAGGGGACTTGAGTATTTATTACCTGAGTTATGTTTTTAAACCTCAGCCCTTTTAACACATCACCAAAAAGGACCTTGGATTAGGTCAATATTTGCAAGAGTCAACTTTTGTCTCCTTGTCTGAGACCTCTTCTCAGCACTGGATATTCCATCGGCCTTTCTGAAACTTTGACTGCACTGCAAAAGTGAGGTGGTGCCATTAGAGATGAACACGTGGCTTTAATAGACAGCTTTGATTTTTCTGCATTAAAAAAATAATCATAACGGACGAAAGGTTTCCCACCTCATTCAAAATAAGCCAGAGGATATACCCATTTATAGCCATGTATCAGAAATGCATACGTTTTTATTTTTTGCCTTAAGAAACTTAAGGTTGAAAAATTCTTTCCAATTGAATGCTGAGGAGCCTGGAAACTGTGAACACTGTGGAATCTCGTATTCTCCAAGCTTCTCTCGGACTTGCTAGATGTTCATCTTGGAAGTACTTGTGCCCCACCTATGAGAGGGACCAAAGAAAAATTCAGCCATTAATTCCACACTGCTGGGGGGCAGGGATTCTCCTGGCCTTCTAAGGGAAGGACAATTGAGCGGGCTCTGAGAGGGATGTCAGGGTGCCCTTTGTAGCTCTCAAGCATGTTGTGAATAGAGAGTTAATTTCCTCCCAGCCCTGTGAGGCCCAGCTAAGTGGCCCGCATGAAGAAAGCTGCACAGCAGCCACAAACTCTAACCTTTTCAGAATTCCTCTTGGCCCCCTGAAGACCTGCCAGCTGGCTTGCCTTTGCTGAATTGCATCATGCCGGGCCATTGAGGAGGCCCTCAGGAGTTTGCAGCCCGATGGTAAACAAAGCTGGTGAGGCAGCTCCAGCTGAACCCTCGCTCTGGGCCAGCCCTGCCAATGCCATGCCTCTGAAGGGTGGGCCGCAGAGCCTCTGAGTGCAGCACTCAGAGCCTCCCAGGAACCCATGGAAAGGTTAGCATGTGCCCTTGTGTGTCCCAGGTCCCCACCCTGCCCAGGCACAGTGTGAGGCAGAAGCGAGGCGATGGTGGGTATTTAGATAGAGAATACTGGAGTTCCTGTCTGGTGCTAAAGAAAATTACAGACCCCCAAGTCCCCTTATTTGCATTGCACCATTTCCAAGTCAGACACTTGCTGCTTTCCAGAAAGCGACCATCAATAAAGAGGCTTGTATGGGGCCGCTACAGGATAAAGACATCGCTGTGGGCTAAGGTCTGCAAATTGACATCACCTAGTTACATTTCAGCAGGATCTCCAGAGGACACTTCCTGCCCATACATACCTGGTTTATCAAGTATTTCTGTGGGGTTTTTTTCCCCTTTGTGCCTAGATTTTCTATTATCCTCCTTATAAATCCTGCTTCCTTGTCTTATTTTAAAATCTGAACATTGTGAATGAAATCAGTTATGAGTGTCCAGCCTCTGCAGCCGCTGTGTTAACTTGCCTCAGTTCCGGCTCCGTGTACACACGTGGATCCATGCGCTGGGTGCGTGGTTACGCTCCCCTGGCACATGGTGGCTGGGTCGATGGCTCTAATCCTCTTAGGAGCTCCCACTGCTGTCCGAGCTTGCACCAGAACAGCGTCTGTGTCCCATTTAATCCGGATGCTTCCATGCATCCCAAGAAAACAGACGCAAGGGCTCAGGAGAGAAACAAGGCCATCCCCACCACAAAGGAACCAGAAGCCTTCCAAATGTCAGTGCACTGCTGCATTTTTCCAAACTTGCTGCCGGAGCGGCCTTTAACATCCCCAACGCCCTGCTGTGATCCACCAGCTAAAAACATCGATTGTTAATTGTCCGACCACTACAGAGCAGCTCGTTTTAATATAGTCATGACATGAATGAGACCCGAGCTCGCCTTTGCCCCTCCCCCGAGGCACCTTGGATCTTGGAGGGAGAAGGCAGCCCTTAGCTGGCTGTGGTACAATAGGGGCTAGTGTTGAGGTCAGCAGTAAATAAGGGGTAACATTGTTTTCCCTTCTGGCAATCAGCAAGCCTTCCTTAAGGATTGAAATAACTTACATTTCTGGAGCGAGCAGCTGAGTAATTGAGAAAGAAGACTCTGTTCCTCTTTTCAAGAGAATCTCTCCCTCTCTCTCTCTGTGTCCCCCCTCTCCCTCATACACTCACACACACACTTCTCTCGACCCCCACCCCCCAATTGCTCAATAGCTCCTCTCTCTCTGATTCGCAAAGAAGGCCAGCTGTGACCCCTGATTTCTGTCCTAAGGAGGGACTGGCTTGAGGGCTTGAAATGGGCATGTGAAGAGCATGTTGCTTCAAGAGCCACTCCAATGGAAACAAAAACCTTGTGGGCAGGGGGATTGGGGCCCAAACATTTAAATAACCCATGCGACAGAGGCAGTAAAGAAAGGCATCTTCTTCTTGACATTACAATCCTCTTTTACATACAGGCTCTGAAGATTGCTCTAAAAACTTCACAAGCCCCAACGGGACCATCGAATCCCCCGGGTTTCCCGAGAAGTACCCACACAACCTGGACTGCACCTTCACCATCCTGGCCAAACCCAAGATGGACATCGTCCTGCAGTTCCTGACCTTCGACCTGGAGCATGACCCTCTGCAGGTGGGCGAGGGGGACTGCAAGTACGACTGGCTGGACATCTGGGATGGCATTCCCCACGGTGAGTGACACCATGCCGGAGTCGCACCGCAGCTCCACCTGGCCTGCTACTTGCCTTGGCGATGATGAAAAGGGAGGACAGAGACTTCAAAGCTCCTCGGGGTTCTTGCATGACCCACGACAACTTTCTCTCCTTTTCCTTAACTTTCTCTTCTGTCCCTTCACCTTCCTCTTCTTTTCCTTTGCCATGGATGGTTTGAGAGAAGTTACAGAAGGGCAGTCTACTTTCTTTGAGAGATTTCTTTGGAAAAGGAGAGGATACTAAGTAGATACTTGGGAGAGGATGAGAAGGCTCAGAGGAGATAGCCAGTTGTCAGGACAGAAAGTGACTCAGTGGCCAACCTGTAGGACCAAATGGAAAGACTCCAGGTCCCCACCAACCAGGCTTGAATCTTGGCTCTGCTACTTATCTGCTGTGCAACCTTGGACAGGTTTCTTAACCTATCTGTGTCTTATCTACCTAAATTAGCCAGATTATTAATTATTCTCATCATTAATATTACTATAATTGTAATATTATTAGTACAGTTGTAGATGTTGAGAAGGTAGAGGCCTACAAGGCCAGGCAGAACCTATAAAACCAACATGGATCTTGATCACTATTGGTGTCAGAGAGGAATGAAATCTTTTACTTTTGTAGTCACCCTAAATATTTTCCAATGTAAGGGAGACTCGGTGGCTGAGCAAGAGAACCAATTTCATTTCCTGGGAAAAGTGTAAGATTTAGTCAGAAAACTTGAGTTAAGCAGTTTGAACACAGAAGTCGCAAGACCTTTCCAAGCCTCAATTTCTTTTGTAAGTATTCTTTTTCAGCCCATCTCCCAGGACTGTGAGAACAGGATGAAGCCAGTGAAAGTGGCTTGTATTTTTTCATTAGAAAGTAAAAGTGCTTTTAAATGTACAAGAAAAATATGAGGCTGTGTCCTTACAACTTACCCTTGGGTCTTTGGTTCTTATGTCAAGTCTTATAGAGTCATACTCCATTGAACGATGTGCAGTGGTGGGATGGGAGGAGGGACTGAAAACCGAGTTTGATGTTCTTGTTTCAACTAACCTCTCTTTGTCCTGTATGTCCAGTTGGCCCCCTGATTGGCAAATACTGTGGGACCAAAACACCCTCTGAACTCCGTTCATCAACAGGGATTCTTTCCCTGACCTTTCACACGGACATGGCTGTCGCGAAAGATGGCTTCTCTGCACGTTACTACCTGGTTCATCAAGAGCCACTAGACAGTGAGTGGGCTGATTGGGAACTTCTGTCCTGTCCTTGTTTCAGGGCTGTGAGGGTGTCCGGTTGAAGAGAGGCTGACCTCTGCAAGAGAAGGAGATGAGAACACTACTAAATTTTCGGGGTCACCTGGGTTCAGGGAATGGGGTCTTCATCCTATTGTCAAGCAGAGATTAAGAGATTAATGAGAAAAGAATGCATGTCAACCTGGGTGCTCATTTCTTTCAAAACATTTGTGTGTGTGTGTGTGTGTGTGTGTGTGTGTGCGTACCAAGAGTTGGTTATTTCCTGGAAAAGTCAAGGGACTATCTCATGCCTCAGTTTCCTCATTTATGAATGAAAGGGAAATTAGCTTAAATGATCTATACAGGGTTTGAATCTGGGGCCACTCCCCCCCACAAAATCTGGGGCCATTGTCTCAAAACTGAGCCATTTAAAACTTCTCTTTACATAACTTTTTTTGACATCAAACATCTCTGACCCTAGGTACAGTTTATTTCCCTGGCTAGGTACAGCTTCATGGTATTTCACTTCACGCTTCCAATAAAGATAGTTTTTGGAGCTTCTCCAATATTCCAGGCACTGGGCAAAGCGTTAAAAACTGTCATTCTGACCCTTGCTGTCATGGAGCCTGTGGCCGAGGTCATGAGTCTTTCAACCCTGAGCCCTGTCTTCAAGCCAGCTGCTCTTGGCCATGTGCATCAAACGTGCTGCCACTTCCACTTAGAAACCCAAACAATAATATTAAGGACTAAAGAAGCACTTTAACAGTGGTCAGAGCCAAGGAAATCCTGCCCTGGTTGCAGACAGCTCACCACATGCACAGCTACCGACACAGCAGCCTGGCCTGCAGGGAAGGCACTGGGTTTTATTGTGGGTTTTGCTTTGTTTTTTTCATCAAAGAACTCATAACGATTGGGTGACAAAGAAGCAGTATGGCAAATGATACTGGGTCATGCAGATGGCCAGTACAGTCGCAGAGGTAAAGAATAGGTCTGATCCCTAAAGGAGATCACTAGTCCACATCTCTCTCTCTCTCTCTCTCTCTCTCTCTCTCACACACACACACACACACACAGACAAATACTGATCAGTGTCTGTGGCATCCCCAAGAAGGACAGAAATTTATCCAATGTCATGAGGCCAGAGTGAGCGACTTCTGGGTCTGTTTGCCTGGGCAGGTGGTGCAGGGGCATATAAGGTGACGTGACTATGCTTATAGAGAGGTCTCCCAAAGACAGGTTATTTATGCTTTGCAGTGTCTGTCTTCTGTGCAAGAACTCACGAGACAGCTGAGTGAAAGAAAGAAGCCAAAGTGCCCCCTGGGTGTTTATTAATAAAGCAGACTTCCCACAGTGCAGCAGCCCACCCAGATTGCCACGAGCTTCTCGCGTTCACCTGTATTGCGATAATGGTGCATCTGGCGTCCGTGAGCATCTGTAGCCTGCAGCAGTAACTGCGCTTTAGATTGTATTTTTAATTTGTATGGTGATTCTTATTTATCCACAACTTGATTTCTTAGAGGTCCAATTTAGTCTCTCTCAGACCCAGAGGGGTTGTCAAGCTCCATGCCTCACTGTAGTTGTTTTTGAAATAACAGCTGATAATGAGGGTCTTTAAGGCGAGGAAATGCATGTGAGGACTTGTCCCTAGCAGGGAGCAGTGTTGGGAGGATCCCCGGGTATGGGGTTGAGAGGGCTGACTCTGCCTTTCACTGCATCCCCCAGACTTCCAGTGCAACGTCCCTCTGGGAATGGAGTCTGGCCGGATTGCTAATGAACAGATCAGTGCCTCATCGACCTACTCCGATGGGAGGTGGACCCCTCAACAGAGCCGGCTCCATGGTGATGACAATGCCTGGACACCCAACTTGGATTCCAGCAAGGAGTATCTCCAGGTACTTACTCGGATCCAGAGAGTGTGCAGGGTGTACCCATAGTGGTGGGGCGGGGAGGTGGCTCCTCAGACAGAGGGGACAAAGGAAACGCAGAAAACAAACACAGCATGCTTGAAGACTCCATTCCTTCATTCACCTGACCAAATGTGTATGCCAGACAGACCGTGCCAGATGGCGTGCTGGGGCACACTTGTGAGTAAGAGAGACCCTGTTGCTGCCCTCATGGAGATGACGGGGCCTGGGGGAAGTTGCTTGGCTAGAGTGGTGTTTGCCCTGTCCCTATAGAGATCTAAAGAGCCATCTATAAGCAGTTCAGATCTTCCCCATTCTTGGCACAGGGAGGCATCAGAGACTTGGGGGGCACTTTCCCAAAGGCAGATTTGCTGAGGTGCTGCCTGGCATGGCAGTTTCTCGTGATCTTTGCTGCCTGGAGAGCCCTGCCAGGAAGGTTTTGCACGTCGCTATCAGAAGAACACATGGCAAAATGTCATTGCTGGGAAAGAAACTCAGGTGGCCCAGATGCTCCACAGCATCTTTCAAGACTATTGTTTGCCTTCTTTCTGAATAAGATTTGGGGTTCATGTTGAGTAATCTTCCCACACTGCAGACTGGCTCCGTTCTCAGCCCCTGGGAAAGAGAGAACAGGGGAAGAGCATGCTGTTAGTTCCATACAGAGCACTGACTGCCTTCATGACACACGAAAGACAGCCTTGTGACCCATTGACAAGCCTGTCCCGGCTGTAATGCGACACAGTGACCTCTGCTCTGAGAAGAACACTGGCAAGCGGGCCACAGGAAGGGGAAGAAAGACCACTTAGAAACTCCAAAGAGTCTACAGGGTTCTAACAGCATAACCCTAAGGCCATTTGTCACTGTCTCTCCTCTCTGCCTCTCCAAAACTCCTTCTCATCCTGCAAAGCTTCCAGAAAGTTTTCCTTTAAAATTGGCATCCCAGCTCGGCGCTAAGGCGCCAGCCACGTACACCTAAGGTGGCGGGTTCGAATCCCCAGCCCGGACCCGCCAAACAACAATGACGGCTGCAACCAAAAGAT